CTAATAATACCTAGAGTGTACAACGGAAAAACGGGAAAATGGTGCTATTTCACGACATGATTATTCTACTTTGCCTGCGAGTCTAGAATAATTTAGAGAGCAAAGAATTCTGCTTAATGCAATACCATAAAATTATTCTAGACTCGCAGGCAAAGTAGAATAATCATGTCGTGAAATAGCACCATTTTCCCGTTTTTCCGTTGTACACTCTAGGTATTATTAGCTCTTGATTGCATGCTGGTAAGTAGAACTTCAGTAGAACGTGTTGTAGTGCAGGCATTCAGGCGACATAGAGTACTAACTTTCTGCACTGTACTGTGTTGAGCTTTCACTTTTTCATATTGTCGAAGTTAGCGCTTGAAAAGGCAAATTTCACATAATTTTGAGTCTTTGACTCAAAAACCATGCTAGCAACTTTTTGCTTCCGTTCGAAATATAGGTAAGCAAGTGTATACATGTAAAACAGTGAAAATAGTATCGTATGCCAAGTTTTTGCAGATTTTTAGTTTATGAATAGCAAGAGTTTTCAGGGTGTCACAATCACTCTTGCTGATGTAAAATCCATAAGTACGATGTTAAAACAGGGACTGTTTCGACTGTTCGAACCACTACCCCCTGCATGTGTTAGCATGTATTTCCTCTACGCGACTCCCTCTGCTGCATTCTCGTGCGTGTGACCCCCCGTGTGACCTCGTGGTTTCGCTCTCAATCGTGGTAGGCTCGCAACGTTTGCCAGCAGGCTGCAGGTGCAGAAGAAGGGCGTGTTCATCAAGCGTCTGCAGAGCTACTGGACGCTGAAGCGGCAGTCGCGTAACGGCGTGCCGCTGCTCCGCCGCCTGCAGAGCACCCACCAGCAGCGCAAAGAGCAGGTAACCTTACCGGTAGGCGTCTTGCACGGCTGGCTGTGCTTTTGTTTTTTTATTGTCTTCTCGTTTTGGGCTATATTCGTGTTCGTTGTCGCTTTCATCGTAAGACCTCTGCGTGTATGTGCGCGGCTCAGGATTGGCATGGTCAGGAGGGGCTCGATCGATTATATCTCGCCATCATTTTTGGCAGAGGCCTGAGGGTATGTGACGGCATGCACAATCGAATTGGCCATGGCCTTTTTGAAAATATATTCTATAACCAAAAACTTGGTCTTTGTTATCAAAAACTTATATTTTGGTAGACACTTTAGCACTTCAAAAATGGTTTGACCAAAACCGTGAAAACTGTTTAGCAAAATAGGCCACAGCATTGTTACAATGCCATGTGAATGTTATCGGGGATCAACTGTGCCCTTATGGATTGTTTCAAGCCACATCGGCTCCTCTACGTGGTCGGATTATCAGATGTGTCGTCTGCCCGCGGTTATAGAGGGCGCTTTCCTTCCGCGTGCGTGGGGTCGCGACAGAATCACATGATCACATTTGCTGTATTGCCAGCTGTGTGTGTGTGTGCGTGTGCGTGTGCGTGTGCGTGTGCGTGTGCGTGTGCGTGTGCGTGTGTGTACGTGTACGTACGTACATGCGTACGTACGTGCGTGTGTATGGGGTGTGTACGTACGTGTGTGTGTGTACGTACGTGCGTGTGTACGTACGTGCGTGTGTACGTACGTGCATGCGTACGTACGTGCGTGTGTACGTACGTGTGTGAGTACGTACATGTGCGTGTGTGTGTGTATGTACATGCGTGTGTTCGTACGTGCGTGCGTACGTACTGCGCGCGTACGTACGTGCATGCGTGTGTGTGTGTACTTGACTCTTCATGGTGCCCTCGTGTGACGCCGTCTGTAAGATTCCTGGCACGTCGTTACATGTGTGCATCACGGTAACCTCTGTTGATGTGATTACTGCTGTTTCAATACGCGTGCGCACATGTTTGCTTGTTTTCATCGGCGTTTGAATGATTTCTCTGTACGCTCATGTGCATACGTTTGGACACATACGTGTTACGCTTGCCACCATTTAGTTGTGCTTTGTTTATGCCTGGTTTGTTATGCCCTGGTTTCGGGTCGCATGCTGTGTGCAATTATCAGCACGCGTAGACTACAAGAAAGTGGGGGGGGGGTGGAGCCGTGCGCGTGGTAAGCGTGCGCGTGTAAGCGTGCGCGTGCGAGCGTGTGTGTGAGAGAGCGTGTGTGTGCGAGCGTGTGTGTGCGATGCGGCGGACGGACAGTGTGAGCGTAGCGTGTGCGAGCGCCGTTCGTGTACGTGCGTTCGTTGTGCGAGCGTGCGTGTGCGGAGGCGCGGCCGTTCGTGTACGTGCGTTCGTGGTGTGAGCGCGGGCGTGTGAGCGTGAGGGCTGTGCGTGTGCGAGCGCGCGTTCGTGTACGTGCGTTCGTGTGCGAGCGCGCGTGTGAGCGTGCGTGTGTGAGCGAGCGTGCGTGTTTGAGCGCCGGTGTGTGAGCGCGGGTGTGTAAGCGCGCGTGTGTGGGCGCGCTGGCGCGCCCCCCGCCGTGTTTTTGTGAGCGTGCGTGTGTGAGCGTGCGTGTGCGAGTCAGGTGCGTGTCTGTGTGAGGCGCAGTCGCGTGTTTGAGCGCCACGGTGTGTAGCGCGGTGTGTCAGGCGCGTGTGTGGGCGCCGCGGTGTGAGCTGCGTGTGTGAGCGAGCCAGTGTGTGCGAAGTGTGCGTGGCGTTGTGAGCGAGCGTGTGTGAGCCGGCGCGTGCGTGTTTGAGCGCGCGCGTGTGTGGGCGCGCGTGTGTGCGAGCGTGCGTGTGTGAGCGAGCGTGTGTGAGCGCGCGTGCGTGGTTGAGCGCGGGTGTGTGAGCGGCGGATGTGTGTGTGGACGGGCGAGTGTGAGCGGTGCGTTGTTTGAGCGGGGGTGTGTGAGCGCGGACGTGCGTGTTTGAGCGGGGTGTATGAAAGCGCGCGTGCGTGTTTGAGCGCGAGTGTGTGAGCGCGCGTGTGCGAGCGTGCGTGTGCGAGCGCGTGTGTGCGATTCTGGTGCGTGAAGTGTGAGCGTAGCGCATAGGTTTCACTACAATAAAATGCGTTTCACGTAGCTTGGCCTGGCCGTCATGTCGCGTTGAGGCTTCGGTTGACGATGTGAAGGCTTGTTTCTCTCTCTCTCGCTGGCTGCAGCTGGTTGCCTGGCTATGGGAGGAGGTATTGTAATGCATGAGGGCAGTGATCGTGGTGAGGGTGGGATGTATTGATTCGGGCGTAAGGCGCGTGCGGTCGTGATGACGGTAAGTGAGATTCTCTACTGCTGCTATACTGCTATACTACTGCGACTGCTGGCCGGCGATGTATCGGCACACGCCATGGATTCACTGTCGCGCGGCGGAAATCAGCAGAATTGTTGCTGTGTGTGTGACGTGTGCGTTGCGTGTGTGTGTGTGTGATGTGTGTGTGTGTGTGTGTGGTAGTGTGTGTTTGTTTGCGTGGTGCGTGCGTGCGTGCGTGCGTGCGTGCGTGAGCGTGCGTGGTGTATGTGTGGTGTGTAGGTGTGCTATGGTGTGCGTGCCATGTTTGTGCGTGGCAGTTGTGTGCGTTGTAGTGTGCATGCTTGTACGTGCGTGTGTGTGTGTGCTGGTGTGTCTGTGTGTGTGCGTGTGTGTGTGTGTGCGTGTGGCGTTGCGTGCAGTGTGCACTGCGTGCGTGTGTGAGTGCATGGCGCGCCGCGGGTTGTGTGTGT